TAAATAAATTATACAAAAAAATAATTTTCTTTTTTTCTCTTTAACCTCTTTTTATTTGCTCAAAAATTAAATTTTAAATTTTAAGATTTTAACCATTAAAATAATCCATTAAAAATAATAAAATCTATAATGTTAAAACCCCTTAATTTTCACTTCTCCGTTATTCTAAATCAACAATCCTCCCTTTTCCACGTGATGTGATGGACAGAGTGATGTCACTCTATCATCAAGCGAGAATACTGTTAGGAGATTCGGTGTTCACTCCCCTGATCTGCGTTCTCCCCCCCTCCTTCGATATACAATGCAATGATAGTTGGCAATTGTCTTTAATCAAGAGAAAAAAATCAACAAAACAATCCCTCATTCAGGCATTCAGCTCCGTGACTCGAGCTCACATGATGAAAAACCATCCATGAATCTCAACCAATGCGTTGCATGCAGCAAAAGAAAAGAGACACTTTTCTAACAAAGAGCAGTGCTAGGGGCACTCGCTTCCTGCACTCTCCGACCGACACTGCCCCTTTCATTGGGCCACGTAAGGTTGTTTTAAACTTTGAAGTGCCATCTCCGACCAAGTAAAACAACGTGGCCCAATAAAAGAGGCAGTGTTGGCCGGAGAGTGCAGAAAGCGAGTGCCCCTAGCACTCCTCTTCTAACAAAAATTAAAAAGGGAGAGAAAAAAAAAGACAGCTACTTTTGTCTCGTTATTGTTAGCAAAGCAGACATGAATTATGAGGGGTATAAAGTCAAACAAAAAGAAAAACGTTTTTTTAAATCATCATAAGCCTTCCATTCCAATTTCCATGCCGTGAACAAAGGAAATGAAACTAAAAGTATAGATAAATTTGGGAAAATATAGAAATTTTAATCAACTCAGCAAATTTCAATGCTGTTCTTCTTTCTGGGTCTGGGCGGCCTCAGCATTTTCTCTAAATTTCTTGTAAATATCACTCTTGTAAAATTCCCTGGTTCTAATCACCAAAACAAACGAAACCAGCGCTCCGAACAACGTAACTGCCGCCAGAATTATGAATGAGAGTCTGTAACAGTGAGACCCAATGCACGTTAATTCCTTCACCGCTGATCGAGTCAGGCCCTTTGAAGCCAGCTGCTTCAGTGCCTCCCGATCATATAACAGCCCGGTGGTCTTCACGTTCAGGATGTAAGACCCAATAGGACTCGCCAATTGTCCGCAATTGAACAATGTGGAGTAGTATTTCAGGCCAAACAGTTCCGATATAATGGCGAATAGCAGGGGAAGTTGTGCCCCGAATGAGAATCCGATGATGATTGAGGCTATGTAGACTGACCCCGGCGCCGGAAATGCGATAATCAGGTAGCCGATGCAGGATAAGAGGAGGACTAATGTCATCATCAGGGGACGGGGGAACTTGTACTTTACGAGGAGAGCTTCGGAGACGAAACCGGAGAAGACCCTACCGAAGTAGTTCCAGATGCTTACCAGGGAGACAAAGGAGTTCACAGTTTTTGCAGGGTACCCGAGGGATTCTCCGATCTGACCCAGGTTGTCGATAGCGGTTAAGCTAGAGCCGAGTCCTCCGAGGGTTGCGAGGAACAGAATTAACATGTCGACGCTCAACAATGCTTGGAGGATTGTGTAGTCCTCGCCCCTCGGCGGTTTGTCGAAAATGTTGAGGAAACAGGATGTCGTTGGTTTTTCTTCTTCTTTATTTGAAGAAACAGGGGGCTGAATCTCTGTTTTCGGTGGTTCAATTTTCTCAATACTTATATCTATCGGAGGCTGTTTCTTGAGATTCCAGAGGACTAATTCTTCTCTGATGGCAATGAACAGGGGAACGAAGAGGAGGAAACAGACGGCGGTGGCGCTTGTGGCATATGCGGCATGGGAAAAAGCTACGAACTTCTGAGTTATAGTCATCGCCATAAGAAACAGAGCAAGAACCATTGAAACGTACAGGAAATGGTAGAAGACTCGAACTTCATTAGGCTGTCGGACCACCTTCATCGTCCGGATTGTGAACACAAACACCACCGATAACGCCGCGGGGAGCCACCCAATAAGGAGGATAAGGGCTTTCGCATCGTTTCCATATATAGAGAGGTACACCTGTGTCATAACGGCGCCGCTCAGTCCGACGAACCCCTTCAATAGACCCAACATGATTCCCCTGCTTTCTGGAAAGTTCTTGACGCAGGTGACCAGGGCTCCGGTATTGGCAAAATTCTGGGAATTTGCTCCGATGCATATGTAGAGACACATCTGCCAGACCTTAGGCTTTGCGATTCTACTGGTAACGGCTAGCCAGATCATGAAATACCCAGTGAAGTTCATGGCAGAGCCAACGAGGAGGACAAACCATGTTGGAGTGACCTCTGCAATTAACCCAGAAAGAACTCCAACATTTGCACCCAGATCCTTGAAGAACCCTAATAAATTCAGCGTTGATTGATCATACCCAAGTGTAGATTTAATTACCTTGGAGTAGGTTCCGAACAGGTAAGTTGCTCCGGCGCCGGCCATGATCAAGAAGGAAGCAAAAACTGTGAACCATCTCCCCTTAACCACATGAACTGCAAACTGGAAATGCTCATTGCATTTCAATCCTCCTCTGCTTCCAATTGGTGCCTCACCCATATTTCTCTGTTTGGATCCAAGGAAAGGATAAGAAAAAGGAAGGGGAAATAATGAGATTTTGGGGGTTTTGAGAATTTGTAATCTTGTTTAGAACGAAGAATTGGGATTCATCAACTGAGCGATATAAATAGTAGGAAAAGCTCTGTTGTTAAGTCCGGGTCTGGTGGGGCACATTGAACATGTGAAAATGGAATTTTTACTTTGCCCAATATAAATACCATTAGTTTATAACCTTTTGTTTTTGTTCTATTGTTAAACTTAGCAAATACGTGTTTCTTAATTGGGTCCTTAAAAGATTATTGTAAATTTTTTTTTAAAAAAATTATATCATTGTATTAAAATATCAAAATACACTCAATTTTTTTTTATAAAAATAGATTATTTTTATTTTTTTAATAAAAGATTATTGGAAGAACTTAGTTTTGAAATATTTTTTTCTTTAATTTTTAAAAATTTAACTAACAAATATTTTCTCTTAAACTTAATAATAGAATTTTTTTTTATCTTGATTATACAATATGATATAATCATCTTCAATCATTTATCTAATCTCATTTGAATGTCATGCTATTTAAACTTATGATCTCTTACTTTCAGTTAAAAGAAATAACCACTAAATTATTTAAAGATTTTTAATTTTTAATTTGTCCAAAAAATTGTTATGCAATTCTTATAAAAAAATTTGTTATGAAATTAATGACGAAAAGAAAAAAGTAAAAAAAATATTGTACAATTCACAATATAACTCTCCTATCCAATATTACATATGTTACAGTCTTAACATATTTTAAACTGTCAAACAAAAATACATACTATAATTATCCCTAATTTAACAAATTTACTCAATATTTCCACGAAAGTTACAACTAAACTAAACAAACCCCAGGTCATATTTGGTAGCTCACGTTAAATATTTGGCTTATGGACCAAAGAATTTTACCAAAAAAGGGAAAATGAAAAACCCATCTTATCTGGCTGAGGTAATTGACATATGCGTTTTGACCTTAAAATTATCCAAAATGGTAAATCTTACCCCGATGTTTAAATGATAAACCAGAGGCAGAAAGCACAATAGAAAGTAACAATTGATTAGAGCACTTGGTCCTTCGGATTAAATGGCCTTCGGACTACTTTGGAGGTACACTTCCCACCTCCCGATGATGGATTCGAACCCACCCTTGTTTACTTGTTCAAAAAAAAAAAAAAATTTAGTTATTAATTCCTATTATTATCTTCTTTGAATACAGAGTACATGTTTTATTGTTTTTCTTTGTTTATCCCCAAGTTTTGGTTACACTCTGTTAGAGTAGGATTTTGAAGTTGTGAATTGAGCCATTCCCCCTTTTCGGCTTTGCAACCTGTAATTGCTTTAATTATGCAGAAATAAAAAAAAATAAAAACCAAATGACGAAATATGATCTAAAAGCTTCTGGTACAGACTGTATCTATGTTCCAAGGCCAAGGTGATGGACTAAGATAATATTATGGGGTCAGTGCCTGTGTTCTGTATCCGTTAAAAGAAAATAAAAATATTACACAATCAACTTCTTGATTGGCACAGTGGCTTCAAGCAGACATGTTTGACAAGCATTTAAACCACTGTCTCCGCTCATTCACATGGAAAAAGAGAAAAAACAAAAAAGGAGGATAGGAGTAAAGAAGGATACAATAATTGGGTCAAAGACGAAAGTAATATATATGATTCTTAAATGAAATTTTCAAATATATTCTTGTCGACCAAGACTAGAGACCAATGAACTATATCTGATTTCGAAATCTCTAGTCTCTCTTCTTATGAAGAAAATCCTCCTATGGGAAATGCTGAAACACAAAGATCAGGATGAGAGTCTGTCAAAATAAATGACAGCAAATTTGCAACTTGGTGAGACACCGTGGATTTGGGGACACACAGCCGCCAACCGCCATCCATTTTCACGCTGGAGTGTGCGCACCTGCTTAAAGGCAAGGTAATACAGGGCCTACTCTACACTTCTCTGGTAGCTGGACCACCACCACCACCATCAAAAGAGTTGAGCACAAAATGCTAAGAGTAGCCACTGCAACATTGGGGTCTTTTATAGCGGCTAAAATCAACTTTTAACTCCTCACCTTATAAAATTAATAAGTTTTTGTCTATAACTTTATAATATGACATTTTTAGTTTTTTATATTTCAAAGTTGATAAGTTTTAATCCCTTATCTTACAAAATCGATACGTTTTAGCCTTTTCACTTATATTATGACACTTTTAGACCCTTGTCTGTACGAATTGAAGAAAATAACCCTTATTTAACATCAAGTTATAATGTTCTATTAGTTTTGTTAGCTGACTGTCAGTTTTATCAACTGACTGTCAGTTCTATTAACTAACTGTCAATTTTGTTAGCTGACTGTTAATTTTGTTAATTGACTGTTAGTATTCGTTAACATTTTGTTAGTATTCCGTTCATAAAACTAACAAATAAAATTGAATTTAAATTTCATATTTTTTATAACGGAATACTAACGGATTTTAATAGTCAACTAATATAACTAACAGAACGTTATAACCTGATATTAGATAAGAGCTATTTTCTTTAATTTGTATTGGTGAGGGGCTAAAAATATCATAATATAAGGTAAAGGGTTAAAACCTATCAATTTTGTAAGATGATGGGTTAAAACTTATCAATTTTGTAAGATATAATGCTAAAACTGTTATATTATAAAGTGAGAGGCTAAAACTTATTAATTTTGTAAGGCGAAGGACTAAATGTTGGTTTTTGCCCTTTTATAGCATCATTTGAAATCATGGGAAACAGGGACCATTTTTAAAAATGGAAAGTTGCTATTCAGCGTCCGCATTTTTGCTTGTTATGTGATTGTTAGATGAGTAGGACAACACCATATAACTTGTAATGGATCTTTCTTAGTACCCATTATGATCCTGATCATAAACAGGTACCATTATCTCTTGAATGACAGTCCTCACTTGGTGCATGTCATTTTCTATCCCCATGATTTTGATACAAGCTTTTTCGGGACAAAGGACCATTATCTCCCCTAGAATTACAATAATATAAAGCCCTGCCTGTCTTTTTTTTTTTTTTCTACCGCAGTTAAGCAATACTATAACAGATCAATTTTTATGCACACATAGTTCACCTTTTTGGTCCGGTCAAAGGTAACATTTCTGTAAACAAACTGATTTAAGATATTATTTTGACTGTTAATCCAAGGAGAAAAGAAAAAAATGCAGCAGCTTCATGGGTTTTCACCCAAAAGAGAAGCCCAAACAGAAAGTTCACTCTGCTGATCAGTCAGTCACACAGGCAGCCCAGGTCTAAATTGTCAGAGTGAAGTATCTAATCCAATATTGTCAGTAGACAATGACCCAATTTATCTGAGCCCAAAAGACTAATTCACTTTCGCTTGAATTGCTTCATGGACCTTTCCTCCCTTGATGTCTTTGTACAGGCTTTGTTGAAGTACCCAATTTCAAAATCAATTGACCCATTTTAGTAACTACCTCATGCCGACAATGCCACAAACTTAGTGGGATTTTTCTGAATTCTTTTTTTTTTTTTTTGAATTATGGGGTAAGTGATTTTTCTTAGTTGTCAAGCATAATAGCCAAGAAATTCCTTAAATCATAACCCTACAGAATTTTGTAAAGCAGATCACTGTTTCAAATTCGAGAAACCCAGAAAAGAAAAGGGAGAGAAACCCTGGATCTTCCAATAAAAAGTTTTTGAAAGTTTGATTGCACCCTCACATGAGCACATGGAAAGTGGAAACATGGGCAATATGCTTGTATTTTGTCTCCCTTGACAAAAAGGTTCCTTTTACCTAGGGCT